GGCCCAATACCAAAAGAAATTCCCTCAATAAAAGAAAAAGGAAAATCCATAATAGATTTATCACAACTCCCCTCATCAAAAATTGAAAAAGCCCAATTAAAACAAAAAATGCTCGAAGCATTATCCTCTTTGGGCTCCGATGAAGAAGACGAAGAAAATGAAGCTATCATTAATATTCAAGACGCACAAGATCCTTATGAAGACGAAGAAGAAAATGTTGATTTTGATCAGTTCTAGCAACTAATTAATCCAACCAAAAAAGAACTGCAAAGAATAATTCATAATATTATGAAGAAATTAGAAGAAGATCCTCATGAAATATCTCTCTAAGAAAAGCATCTTAGTAAGAAGCTGGGCTTATCCGGCCCATCGCCCAACAGATGCTATAGTTCCTCTTTCAGAAGAAGACTCAGTGAATTCCCTACGCAAAGCAAATGGGGGCCCACAAAGTTGAAAAGAAAAGTCATTGTAATTATGTACTTTTGTTTTTAGCGTCGGCCGCCGAAAGTAAAGGCATGCCAGTTGTAAGTATCTTTTGTTTTTAGCACAGGTGTCTCTTGTAATTATGTCTTTGGTCGGCCACTGGTTACTAGTGTGCCAGTTGTATGATTGAATAGGAAAATCTTAAGGTCTATAAAAGAGTCAGTTGATGAAGTAGAACTTACAGCTCTCTTAGAGCCTTAAACTCTATCTTCCTCAACCAACTCCTTCATAGCCTAAGTTTCCAGCTTTCCCTTATTTCCTCGAATAGTCTTGAAAATTGTAAGATTTCAAAATTTCAGAATAATATAATCTCTTCTTCTTCTTTTATATCTTGTCTTCCGCTTTATATGCGCTGGTACCAGAAATGGTATCAGAGCCAAAGTAAAACAAATTTGCGCTGATAATATCAATTTATTTGGAATAAGTATGCACTGTGGTTGCGGTTTAATCCGATCCTCCACATCAAAAAATTGCTTGCCTGCTTGAGTAAAAGTATATCGGCTGGAAAAATGGGTATTTAAGTCCTCCCGATTGGGTTGCTTGATGCATAATAGGTCAATCCAGATCACATATGTCAGGTTCAAATCTTGATAATTTAGTGTGAATTAACAAAGCCACGTACTTTGATCATATAACTGATTATTCTTTCTGAATTGTTATTTTCTGAAAACTTTACTTTTTTATTAGAAAAAATTTTATTAATTAAACCTTGCCTAAGAGTCTTTGAGGGTAGATGAACGTTGGTAAGACGGTTTAGGTTATAAGTCCAGTGATTGGCAGTAAACCCTGTGGTGTTCCCATACATCTTAGACCTTGGCCTTAGGATGACAAAATTAATAAAACTTTTATCTAAGGGAAAAGAAAAGCTAGAAGAAAATAAGAATACAGAAGAAGAAACCAGTAATATGAATCTAGTACATCATGAATTAATAATCCCAGAAATAGAAAATCAGCTGAATAAATGGACCCTTCCCAAATTAGAAATATCGAATATCTATAAAACTAACTGGAAAGACATATTTAAATCAGAATATATAGTTAAAACAGTAGATAAAGAAATAGAACTTTTATCAAGCCATGAAAAAATACCATTAATAACTAAATCCTTAATAGCAGAACATATAAAAGAGTATCGCTATCTTCGTATAGGATCAATCCAGATATCAATAAAACCTCTCTTTAGAAAAGGAATAGATACACCTATGTTTGTCGCTTTAAGAGATAATAGACTAGTAAAACTTGAAAATCAGATATTAACAATGTTTGAAACTAACCTACATAATGGACCAGTATACATAAATAATTACCCAAATTATTCGATAGCGCTTAAAAGCCTGAGGTTCTGGTTCTAATAAATCTTCTAATCTCCAACTAAGTCCACTAGATATTTCAGTATGTTTTAAAGTTTTTGGTATTACGACATTAACCTTTTCTGGATTTACTAATAACATAGTTGTTTCATCTTTTGGGGACATTAATAAGGCTCCAGGTGCTAGTTGAGTTTTCATTATTTTATAATAAATTATGTATATTATTATTATGGGTATTGATTTGGGATTCCATACATTTTTAGGGATTTTTATGTCTAGTAATATATTATTTTCTGTATTATGCAGGCTTTTAAGAGCTATCGAATAATTTGGGTAATTATTTATGTATACTGGTCCATTATGTAGGTTAGTTTCAAACATTGCTAATATCTGGTTTTCAAGTTTTACTAGTCTATTATCTCTTAAAGCGACAAACATAGGTGTATCTATTCCTTTTCTAAAGAGAAGTTTTATTGATATCTGGATTGATCCTATATGAAGATAGCGATACTCTTTTATATGTTCTGCTATTAAGGATTTAGTTATTAATGGTATTTTTTCATGGCTTGATAAAAGTTCTATTTCTTTATCTACTGTTTTTACTATATATTCTGATTTAAACATGTCTTTCCAGTTAGTTTTATAGATATTCGATATTTCTAATTTGGGAAGAGTCCATTTATTCAGCTGATTTTCTATTTCTGGGATTATTAATTCATGATGTACTAGATTCATATTACTGGTTTCTTCTTCTGTATTCCTATTTTCTTCTAGCTTTTCTTTTCCCTTAGATAAATGTTTTATTAATTTTGCCATCCTAAGGTCAAGGTCTAAGATGTACGGGAACACCACAGGGTTTACTGACAATCACTGGACTTATAACCTAAATTGGCTTACCAACGCTCATCTACCCTCAAAGACTCTTAGGCAAGGTTTAATTAATAAAATTTTTTCTAATGAAAAAGTAAAGTTTTCAGAAAATAAAAATTCAGAAAGAATAATCAGTTATATGATCAAAGTACGTGGCTTTGTTAATTCACACTAAATTATCAGGATTTGAACCTGACATATGTGATCTGGATTGGCCTATTATGCGTCAAGCAACCCAATCGAGAAGACTTAAATACCCAGTTTTCCAGCCGATATACTTTTACTCAAGCAGGCAAGCAATTTTCTTATGTGGAGGATTGGATTAAACCGCAACCACAGTGCATACTTATTTCAAATAAACAGATATTATCAGCGCAAATTTGTTTTACTTTGGCTCTGATACCATTTTTGGTACCAGCGCATATAAAGCGGAAGAGAAGATATAAAAGAAGAAGAAGAGATTATATTATTCTAAAATTCTGAAATCTTACAATTTTCAAGACTATTCGAGGAAACAAGGGAAAGCTGGGAACTTAGGCTATGAAGGAGTTGGTTGAGGAAGATAGAGTTTAAGGCTCTAAGAGAGCTGTCAGTTCTACTTCAACAACTGACTCTTTTATAGACCTTAAAATTTTCCTATTCAATCATACAACTGGCACACTAGTAACCAGTGGCCGACCAAAGACATAATTATAAGAGACACCTGTGCTAAAAATAAAAGATAATTACAACTGACACGCCTTTACTTTCGACGACCGACGCTAAAAATAAAAGTACATAATTACAATGACTTTTCTTTTCAACTTTGTGGGCCCCCATTTGCTTTGCGTAGGGAATTCACTGAGTCTTCTTCTGAAAGAAGAACTATAGCATCTGTTGAGCGATGGGCCGGATAAGCCCAACTTCTTACTAAGATGTTTTTCTTAGAGAGATATTTCATGAGGATCTTCTTCTAATTTCTTCATAATATTATGAATTCTTCTTTGCAGTTCTTTTTTGGTTGGATGAATTAGTTGCTAGAACTGATCAAAATCAACATTTTCTTCTTCGTCTTCATAAGAATCTTGTGCGTCTTAAATATTAATGATAGCTTCGTTTTCTTCGTCTTCTTCATCGGAACCCAAAGAGGATAATGCTTCGAGCATTTTTTGTTTTAATTGGGCTTTTTCAATTTTTGATGAGGGGAGTTGTGATAAATCTATTATGGATTTTTCTTTTTCTTTTATTGAGGGAATTTCTTTTGGTATTGGGCCTTTTTGACTAATAAGGCCTATTTTCTTCCAATTCTCGAACTTTTCTTCTACATACTGGACCTCAAATTTCTTCCACCAAAAAATTTTAGTTTTTAAGCAGAGGGTTTTTGGGTAGATTTCATCTTTATGTTGATGGACTTCAGGAATGTGGGCCAAAAGCCAGCTTATTCCCATAGTTGAACAAAATTTTATAATTCGAAGATATGGAGGGTATTGAGGAGTAAGATTTTTGTATTTCTGATATATCTTCATGATTTTCTTAGGGATTATTGCCTGAACAGGACCAATTTGATTGAACCAGTCAATAAACCAGTTGGGTAATGAATTGGATACTTCTTTTCGAAACAGATATACCAGATATATATATATATATATATATATATATATATATATATATATATATATATATATATATATATATGATATGTGATATGATTATTCTCATCCAAATCCCTTCAACATGCTATTGTGGTTACGTGTCCAATTTCCATATCTCACTCACTACTTTTCCAGGTTGTTAGCAAATGGCCATCCTTCTCCATATTTTAGCACTCACCTTATATACTAAAATATAAGGAAAAAAATATAATGGACTTATATTCTAAAATTAACAATAAGTTTTAATTTATTTTTTAAAATTAAAAAAATATGATATATCTAAACAATTTATTCAAAAATTAATTTAAATAAAAAATGAAAATAAAGAAAATATATTTTAAATTATATTAATGAAATTAATTTTATTTTAAATATAATTATTTGATATATAAATTTCGAATTAATTTAAGAAAATTTTACTTATTTAAAAAACTAAGAGTTAAAGACTTATATTTGATTCTCATCATTAATTTTTTAATAATAGTAATTTATTTTATTTAATATATTATAAAAGAAAATAAATTATGAAAATAAAAAATAAATTTCTAATTTTTAAAGTAAGTGAATTGAATTTTTTAAATTAAATTATAATATATATATATATATATATATATGTGTATATGCATATATATAATAATAAAATAATATATTTTTTATTTAAAAATAATATTTATTTTATAAAATAAACTGAGTAATAATATACAAATTAGTCACTCTAAATCTATTTACACAATTAAATTAGTCGAGTGAAAATTTATATGAATGAATTGGGTGAAAACTGACACCCTAAATCCCCAATAATAATATTTGGTGTTATCTTCTTATGCTTTTCTTGTTTAAGTTAGTATGAAATATGTATTTTAAAAAATTTATCTGTAAAAACGAATGTTTATCAAGTTTTATCTATTTTTGAAGTTAGACGTAGAATACGTATATTTCTCTTTTTTAAAATTGAAAGAGACAAATAGTATCTTTTGTTTAAAAGCTCAACACAATATAATTCAAATATATAATAATAATAATAATAATAATAATAATAATAATAATAATAATAATAATAATAATAATAATAATAATAATAATAATAATAATAATTTAGAATGAGGTGAGAATTACCTGTTGTTTGGTGGGGTGGATAGAGTATTTGAGGCGTGGCAATTGTTCTAGCGTCAATGTGGTGAGACGAGGAAGCAGAACGTGTTGTGTTATTATTCCTTCTCCTTCTCCTCCCTTCTTCTCCTTCCCAACTATTTCTACCAACTCCTTACACCTTTTTACCTCAATCTCTTCAAGTCTTGTGAGATCTTTGGCCACCGATGCTGGAAACACACTTTTAAGACATTCACATTCATCAACACTCATAGTTTAGCATTTGAAGGTCAATAACTCCCTCAGGATCCTTATCCCATACATGCTCTAGTTTTGGTAGATCATATAAAGCCAACTTTTTCAAACGGCTTATTCCCGAAGCTTTCCTGTTCTCATCATTTATATTAAATATGACCTGTGCTGAACTGCAACTTTTTACTGTTAATATTTCCAAATTCTGAAAGCAAGAAAGTAAATGAGATGGAATTACATGCACCAGAGTAGTCCATCCCCATGCATTCAAACTTTTCAAACGGCGAAAGCTGTTCTGCTGCACCGAGTGAGTGCCGAGCCATACTTCTTTTATGATAAATTCATTATGAGCCCGAAGAAACAGACCCTCCTGAGTGTACGTGATGAAAGTGAGCTGTAGAATGAGGCAAAGAGAAGGTGCTGCTGAGTCATACATTCACCAAAAGTACATTATTATAATTTTATATTATTTTTTATATCTATATATAACTAATTTCTTTAACCATTTTTTTATTGAAGACAGAAAAAATAACATTAATTTAAAACAATACTTATCATAATTTATATATTTTATAAATAATAAATATATGAGAGAAAAATATATAATATATAGTTAGTGAAAAAAATGACGACACCTACCAAATAGAAATAAATAACAAAATAAAATTAAAAAATATTTTAAAAAATTATAAATAAATGTATCTCCGTTAATTATTTATAAGGACAATATGAATTGAATTTATATTATTAATTTTTTTAATATATATATATATATATATATATATATATATATATAGTCCTAATAATATATATTATCACAAAAATTAAATATTAACTCAATATAATTTAATATACTCATATTAATTTAACATAAATATTTAATATAATATGAAATAAATAATAATGATATTTTTGATATTTTAAACAAGTATTGTTATACAATACTATAATTATATATATATATATATATATATATATATATATATATTAATTTAAATATACTAATAGTGAAATATATAATTATTAAACGTGTTCTGTTACATTTATTGTTAAACAAAATTAAATTATTTTAAATTAATAGTTAAAAATTTATTGTGTAATTTGTATTTTAAAAAAATGAATTTAATATATATAATAAACAATAAAATTATTATAGTGACGATTTTGTAACCGTATTACGTGAAATTCACTTAGTATCAATTTTAAATTAAAAATAATATATTGTTAGAAATAACCGCATTGAATGTTTTTCAGAGAATTAAGAGAGTAAATGGAATGCTTTAAAAATAGAAAACAATATAGAATTTTATAAATGAATGAAAGGACTTCAAAAAATTTAATCTTCTAAAAAACTAAACATATATACTTGAAAATATTAATTTGAAGGTACCAACAGTGAAAATATTACATAACTAAAATTATTAAAGTTGTTTATTACATTGATTTAAAAGCAATTAAATAATTTTAAATTAAAAATTAGCAATTTAATACCATGACGGTTTGTGTAATTTTAACTTTAAAAATAGAAGAAGCAGATAGAAATTTATACATAAATAAAAGGAGTTTAGTTGAATAAACGAGTAAGTACCTTATCATTGAAAACTTTTTGTACGGTGGCATTCAAGTCACCTTCCCACTGCCATTTCGATTTTTCCTCTCCTTCAACACCGAATATACTTTCTAACTTTGGTGTTGTTGAGGAACCCTCAGTGAATGTTTTCATCTTGGGGCATTCTCTTATGATCAATATTTCCAATGTTGGGAATTCAAACTTACAGTTATTGCAACTGCAAAAACTTGCGAGTTTATTTAGCAACGCAAGTTCTATAGTAATCAATTTGCCAAATACAATTTTCATCTCTTCACTTCCTTCATTTGTTACTATTTGCTCTACTTCACCACAATAGATTACCTTCATGGTCTTGAGTTGAACCATGCTTTGGGCAGTCGAGGATGCCATTAAATTCTTTAATCCCGGACAATAATTCAGTTCCAAAGATGTTAAGTAAGCCAGTGATACAGCGGGAGGAGCTAAATTGCACAATTGCTGGCAACCTTGTAAGCTCAAAAGCTCGAGTCTCTGAAGAACTTGGTCTCGTTCAAATCCTAGATCCTTTACATCTGACCAATACAAAAACAATTGCTTGAGCTGTATTACGGTTCCCAATATTTGTTGTGGTGCACTGTTTGCAGTTGGCACTAACACTTCACGATGGTCCTCAGTCAAGTATAAGTTTTCTAGATTTGGCATTCTGTACAGAAATTGGTAGAGGAGATGGACACTTTCTACTGAGCTCAAATGAAACTCTTTTAAACGGTGCATTTGGTAGTTCAAAGATAACCACCTTTGCGCTTCTTCCATGTCAATTTCCAGATACTCCAATTTGGGGAATACCTGGACAAAAAAAGAGATAAGAAATATATATTTATATAGAGAGAGAAAAAAAGAAAAGAGGTAAACACCTTTATCACCCCTTCAAATTGGTTTGATTTTAAGAATTTTTGTAGTTTATTGAATCATAACGTTTATGAACAATTTTTTTCTTTAAAATAAATGCGAATATCATTAATAAAAATAGAAAATTAAAAATTGGAAACATATTTTTATTAATTTTAGCTTTTTTAATGGCTTTTAAAAGTAAAAATAATTTTTAAAAACTGTTTTAACAAAATCATTATCTAACCAATTTTCTATTTTTTAATAACTTAAAAAACTATAAATATTCTTAAAAACAGTAAAGTTCTATTCTTTTAATAACTAAACAACCTAAAAATATTCTTAAAAATACTTAAAGTACGTCTTACCTTTTTTTTTTCAAAATCCAAAAATTTTATTATAAATAATAACATAATTTTAATAATATTAATAATAAAAATATTTTAATAACAACAATAATAAATAATATTATTATGAATAAAAAATAACAAAAAATAAAAATAGTAATAAAATAGCATTTCTTTATTTCTTTTTAAAATTGAATAATCTTTACAAAAATATTTTTCATTAATTTATTTTTTTATCATTTAATAAACAAATTTTATTTTTTAATTTTTGTTGAAAGTCTCACCTTACCACTCTCGTATGGTTTAAATATATTATGATTAACAATTTTCTTTGAATCTTTTTTATTTTGTACTCAACATATCACCAAAAGTTGAATAGATTTTTTTTTTTTTTTCTAAACACAAAGATCGAATATTAATTACCTTTTCAGCTGACAGCACAAATTTGTGTCCTTCATTTGTTGTTTTACTTGTTTCTGTGGAAAATATTTTAAGCTTGTGACACCCGACCACGGTCAACTCCTTCAACTTTGGGCACTTTATAGGATGTCTCCCTTCGTAGAAACTCTTGATGTTTGATAGATAATATAATTTCATGCAGGTCAATTCAGGAAACACCAATCGATCTTTGTTAGTTTCTGATGCATCTTCACTTGCAACAATTCCCACCATTTTCCCACAAAACAATGCTGACATACGTTCAAGCTTAGGAAAGTCTTTGGCCACAGAAGCTGGAAACAAATTCCTCAATTCATCACAATGTTTTACATCTACAGTTCGCAGTGTTTTAAAGTTCAGAATTCCTTCTGGATCTTTGCTCCATAATTGCTTCAACTTTGGGAGATACTCCAGAAGAATAAGCTGCAAATTTGTGTCTATCCCACCAGATGGATCTATTTCTTGAGAATCTTTGATTTCAAAAATCACTTCCACCGACTTGCAATCAGAAACTTTCAAGTTTTCCAAACTTTCAAACCATCCTTCCATGTGACTTGGAAAAATCTTGTCTAGTTTATTGCATTCAACTATGTGCACAGAAATGAGACTAGAAAATGAATCAACGCTAACCTTCGTTTGCCACATATCTGTTAAACTATTCATTTTGCTAAGCTGGAATTCCTCCAATTTAGGGAAGATGCAGACCTGCATTTTAATGAAAACAAACAATTATTAAGTATTGAAACTAAAAGAAAATATAAAGATAGAGAGAGTGGTCAAGAACCGTAAACATAAAAAATTAAGTCAACTACAAACATTTACTTATCTACCCTAATACGCACCTTGTTTCCACTATTTCCTTCAGTTTCAAGTATCTTCTTCATATTCGGACACTCACTTATGATGAGGCTTTTCAGCTTCTTCAAACTACTAGCCATAGACAATGAACATAAATATGTCAAGTCAATACATTCTTTCACGACTAGTTTTATCAAGTTTTGAAAGCAAAAACATGACGAGTGTTGGTCGCTCCATATCTTACGAATGTTGAGGAACGATAAATTCAAGCTCTCTAAGTTTGGAATTACAACCTGAAAACACATACATAGTTAATATCTTACAAAACCTGAACAAATTAAGTAAAATTTTAGGAAAAGTAAGTAATATCATACCAGTTCACCAAACAGAGGAGGCGCCTTGTCCCTTTGCACACTAGTTTTTTGAGCCCCAACTTTGGTATAAAAACTTGTAAATGATGGTAACGACTGGAGTGTCAAAGTGCTCAACTCAAGAAACTCAATCTTACCATAATCCTCTGGTATTTGAAGGATCTCCTTTAAGGATTTACATTCAGAAACCTCAATTGTTTCTAGACTAGCAAGAAATTTATCCATCTCAGATTTACATTCACAAATTTCATACATTTCTGGACTAGTAAGAAATTTATCCACGTAAAGGAGGAAGAGATTCTTCAAATGGTAACAACTCTCGACCTTGATGGTTTTTAATTTGGTGAATGACGCAACTGTAATAGGACCGTAACATATCATCTCTAGACTCCTTAGATTGTAGAGGCATAGAGATTCCAAATTGGGAAAAAAGACATTCACACAATTAGACAATTCTGTTGAAGTGACATACTTGATGTCATTGTTATTTGTGATGAATAAGTGTTTTAGATCTGGAAATCCCTCTGTATTCAACTCGTTGACAACATTTTGAACACCATCTACCTTTCCCAACAACAAAATTTGCACGGTTTTAAACAACAATTTTATGCCTTTCAGGGAGTGAATGTTAGTGTTATCCTTTAGTTGCAATGCTAAAACTCTGAATGATTCATACTTACTGGGCATCCTAAAGTCTTCAACAGAAAACATTTCCAAGTCTCCAATCACAATCTTGTAATCTTTTAACTTGTCAAAGAACAAGTGATTTGGCAAATCTGAAGCACATGGGATGCTTAAGTCCACCACTTTCAACTCATGCAAACTCTTCAACTCAGAAAGAAACAAATCTTGAACTTTGTTTGTCTCTACTTCCACCAACATTTTGATCAAGCTCTTTCTTATATATAACTCTTCTAAACGTGTCAAACTAGATATTATATTAGGCGGAATAATCTCTAGTTTGGAACAATCGCTAATGTCTAGCAGTTGTAACTTATCCAATTCCCTTAACTCAGGTGGCAATTTTTTTAGTTGAGATCCAGAGAAGCTGAGAATTCTTATTTTCTTCAACTCTCCTACTTTAGATAAGTCGTCAGGTAAAGTGCATCGCTCCAAACAAAGCATTCTGAGCTGTAATAGGAATTCAATGGAAGATGGTAAGTTTAATAGATGAAACCCAGTCAATATTAAAACTCTGAGATTTTTCATTTCTCCAAAAAAACTGTCGGGTATTTGCAAAGATGGATCAATAGTGTTTATTTGGAAAAATTGAAGTTGAGAACAACTTATGACTCTAGGAAGCCCGTCAATGATATCAGTGTCGCATACAGAAATAGAAGTGAACCTCTCGAGTTCAGGCCAATAATCTAGTTTGCCATTTCTTAGAGTAAAAACATTTCTATCCTTGTGTGCTATAGACAAAGCAGCATCTCTAACCAAGTCATGCATGTTGAAATGAATATTAGAACTTCCGTCCAACACTAATCCTGAGTCTTTCAACATTTGGATAGATCTATCAATTTTCTCCCGAGCTTCCCTAATCGAGTAGACCCCTTCAAGTATACCCAAACCAAAACAATACTTCACCAAGTCCATAATTAGTGCTTGATGGCCCATTTGAGCACAAACTAAGAGAATGGACTTCATCTCATCATTCTCTAGATGGTCATAACTCATCTTCACTGAAATATCCATCGATGTCTGCACTCCCACCAATTCTTGCTTTTTAAGTTGTTCTAGTGTTGCTTCCCATACTGACTCACTCTTGTTTCTTAATGCCCTTGCAACTGTAACTATTGCCATGGGTAATCCTGCACAATACTTCTTCACAATTTCTTGTTTAGAGACAGACATTTCATTAGGTATTTTAGCCACCTTTTGAAACAGCATCAAAGCATCCTTCTCATCTAATTCCTTTAGACAAAAAATCGACTTTACATCCATTTCTTCATGCAATACTTTTCTATTCCGTGAAATTAGCAAAAGTTTGCACCCCTTGTGATCATGAAGGATTTTTTCTTTTTTCAACACTTTGCGATCCTTATCATAATCCTTGTTATTATTGCTTAAATCATCATCCTGGTCATCATCAAGTGGAATCCCTAACTTGTTTAGATCTAATTTGTCCCAAAGGTCATCCAAGATTAAAAGGATGTTTCCCTTCTCTCTCTTTAACCTCCTCCTTAGACAATCAGCTCTCACATTTTGACCTTCTCCTTCCAATCTCAATCCTAACACGTAAGCAATTTCTTCCTGAATTTTTTGTGGATTAGGATTGGCTGTTATTTCTACTCTAGCAACCCTATCAAACAACTTATTATCTTTAGCTTTCCTAGCAATTTCTTTGATTAAAGTGGTCTTACCCACACCACCTGGCCCATACAATCCAATCATTCGCACACTGGAATCTTCAAGATGTCTCATTACCTTTTCCATTGTGGATTTTGTAGAACCAAATTCTACAAATCCAGCATTAGACAACGTGGCATCATTAGATGTTACATTTTGCCGATAGGCAACTTCATCAAATTTGGGGGACTCATCTTTTAGCTTTTTAACATCCACTGCCATCTTCTTCGCTTGTCTGCCTAACCTGTGTCTATTCCGCAAGTAAGAAAAAACATAACAATTGGGCGACCGGGCCCTTTTGTGGCCTTCATCGTTCTCAAACTCCTCCACTGTACTCTCAAATTCACTCACTTGTTGAACCCATTCTGTAACCTTACCTTCAATGTTGTGTAGATTTTTCTCAGCCGCATCGCGTTGATGATCTATCCTCTCCTTTTCCAATCTGAGATCCTTAACACTATGTTTCAGTTCAACAACATTTTGCTTGTAATGGAGGATGTAAGTCACTTGCCGAACAACATGGTCCCATACAGAATCAATCACTCTTTCGACAACTTTGCCAAAAGGCCCCAAAGAGTCCATGCTTGGAGGCAGATTATCTTGTACAAGGTAGACTACATCTCTTTCCCAACAAAACCAAAAGTGGAAACATAACAGTCAATAACTAAATAAGAAAAGGGGATGCTGCTTAATCAATAAAAAATCACAGTTATATATAATAAATATAATAAAATATACTTAAAATGATATCTTTCAACAACAGTTACTAAGACTTTTTTTTTTTTACAATAGTAAGAGATTATTATCGAAAAAATATAGTAATATTGATATAACTTAATTAAAAATTTTCATATTACTTCTAAAATAATTATTTTTAGATACAAGACCACGATTATTTTCAATAGTTAATGGTTCACAAAAAATTGTCTATCGTTTAAAAATATGGTTATGATTATTTTTAATAATGTCATAAGTCTTATTTAATATGGTCTAAGACGTAGTTTTTTTTTTAATTTTATTTTCTCCTTCACCTCACTTTCGTTGCTCTTTTCTCTTGCCTCATCTCGTTATTGTGTCAATTGTTCTTTTTATCATGTCCTTAGTGTATCTTTGTTTTGTCGTAGTGCAGGTATTTTTTTTTACTTGTCAATGATATTTTTGTTTTAAAAATATGTATTTAAAAAATATTTAATACAATATTAAAAGTATATTATTATAGTATGATTAACACCATTAATAATCTAATTTAAAAAAAATATAATAATAATAATTATTTCAATTATCACTATATGTTTTAAATTCAATAATAGCAGTCAAATATCATTAAAAGTATTATTTTTTTAATGTTAATTACATCAACGATAATTTTTTAATCGTAGGTAAAGAATTGTTTTAACTATCGTTAAAATATTTTCTGTAGTACTGAATATTTTTTTCTATTTTTGTAAATGCTACAAGTTTGTTAAGTTAATTGGCTTGTTTTGTTTCAATGTTTTTTTCTTCTTCCTTGTCTGAAAACCATCTCACGTTGAAATCATAACCCATAAATCGCTATGTCAACATGGACCCTACAGTCTTGGAGAAACTTTTAATCTTCAGTCAGCCGTAATAAAATGCAGATAATAATTGAGTGGCATCCTTCAGCACATCACAAACACCCTCTAAGGAATGAGGGAGACAACAACATTTCCATCAAACAAGATCATTATTTAAATGGAAATCATAAATCATTATTTAAAAACGTTTTGAAAATCTAAACCAGATGAAATTAAAACATCATCAAATAATCAAAAAGAAAATTCCATTTTTATCACATTATCATGGGTCAAAAGCGGTCTTCCCCCAATAATGGACGAAGGACAAATTAAGTAAAGTTACTGCTTTTCAGTCATAATACTTTCACGAAAGAGTTTGTGTCCTTAAAAACTCTGAACATAAAATTTCAATGAAAATGTAAATATTTTATTATTAAATTGAATATGGACTCACCTCTATCTTGCGTTTTGAGTGTTAAAAACCACCATGGAGACAAACTAAGAATGAGGAAAGGTCTTATCAGTGTTCAGCAGAGGAAGAACTCCATTTTTTATCTGTTTTTCCACCCTCACCTTTCCTTTCCATTTCTAAATATTCTCCTCGGTTTGAAGCTTCTGCAAAGATACAAACATGCACGTTATATATCTATGTATCCATCTTTGAATGATGAGCCAATATTCTTTTCTTACAATCTGAAATAGAAAGAATAGATAGTGATAAAAGAAAGGAAAAATTTACCTGTGTTATTGGAATTGGATAATCTTAACGTTGTGATGATGTATTACTTGCCAGTATTCCAAATCTCGCAAGCAATAAGGTGAATGTGACGAAGAGAGGAAAAGATGAGAACGAATGAAATGGTGCGCAAAGTAACCTTGACAAAGTGGGAAGGTAGATGAGGCAGAACACCAAGAACAAGTTGAAAATGGTGTTGGGAATAAGTTTGGATTGGAGATGGGATATGGGATGGGAATTCTTCGTAGGGTTTGTAAAGTGAATGCCTCCAACGAGGGCTTCCTTCCCACTCTGTCAAGTTAAAGATTTTACTTTGCTGACCATTCTATGCTTTTGGTGGGACCGCTATTCCTTTTTCTTCACTTTCTTTCTCTTTTATTCCTTGCTTTCTTTACGTTCTGATACAGTTTATTTTTATGGATTCTCTATTATTGAATATAAATTTATATGTTCTTTCCTTGTAAGTATAACAAAACAGGACTTTTTAAATTAATATGAAGATCACCTCGTTTAAACATTTTTATAACTATATATTATGTTGTGTCAGTATATTTTCTCGTAATGTTAATTCAAAATGATAAAGAAGCTATCGCAAAAGGCTAGTTAAAAATAAAGTAACAATAATCCTAAAATTGTTAATTTTAGTTAAACTATGTCCTAAATATTTAAAATTAGGTTCTGTAACTTCATGCAGACATTCACAAAATAAATATTTAATAGAGAAATAATTGCTTTTAAAAAATATTTTTTTATTATATGTTTTAAGTTGTAGCAACTAACTATATCACTTTAAATAATTTTTCTAAATTAAAATTAAAATGACGATAATGCTAACGTATTTAGTAAAATATTTAACATTAAAATGAAGTTGAGAAATAAATAATGATGGCGTCTATCTTTTTAAAATACTTTTCAAGTAGGTATTGATGAATGAAGCACCATTTGAGGCCTGATAGGGTTATAAATCATTATTGTTGAAATTTCATAAAATATATGGTGGTTTGTGTTTTACGCAACCAGGACAAAGTAGCGTCACAAGGAATTTTTAGGCTGCTATGCCTTAAGCAAAGTCTGTAAAACCTTTTAGCCTGAATATGGAAAAATTGTTATTGGTAGGGATGTTTACTTTGTGATGAAGTTTAAGAAAAGGATGATGGTGGTGTTTGAGATGACAAATAGTATATCTTCCACTATGTCTACCTAATGAGATCATTGGTAACCTATTTGAAATATTGGGTGCGCAACTTCTCTTGAAAAACTCATCTCTCCAAACCGGTATACTAACTCACCAATTCCTCTTGAAACCTGCACTAATTCAAAATAAATACAAAATTATTTCATTTGCCTGTGTTTCACTCTTCTTTTACAGATCCATTCATATGATAACAAACTTTTTATTTTTATATTTTCCGTCTGATTGAAGTCTCAGTGATGTGTGTCGTCTTGTTAGCATTCTTCTTTTCGACACTTTTCGAGTGTCAATGATTCTTTGAAAGTTTTCAGCGACAATCTTTTCACCTTCCGGTTCATCTCCTCCACGAATCCATTGACGAATTTCAAGGGGCATGGAAATGTACTGTAAATTGGTTAGCACCAATCAATTTGTGAGGAAAGAAAATATTGATAAGATGATTACATACGACTTTTAGGAGTTTTTTTATTTTATTCCAAGGATTAATACGACCAATAAACACAATTTTAGAGGGTATGCTATATGGGGTGTCCAACTATCACTGCTCTATAAAAAAATTGACATACGCATACATGTTTTTTTCCTCCATTAATATTGTTTAGTTTTATGTTTCAGTTAGTTATGGCTTCCGACGTAGAGGGAAAAATCTATTTGAAATATTGGGTGGACACTAAAGAAGAACGTGTGGTTATGGCGGAATCAAGTGGGGACTTCATAAACGTTCTCTTCAGTTTCCTTACCCTTCCATTGGGAACTATCATCCGGCTTGGGAACAGATTGGACCAACGTGTTGACCTCGGTTGCATCAACCATTTATACGAGAGTATTGAGAAGTTGGAATCTGATGTTTTCTGGAACAACATCTGCAAGAAAATGTTGCTGTCTCCGCGCAACCCGTTAGAAGGGTCTTGCCAGAGACTAAAAGTGAAGGTGGATGATACTGAACCCACAAAGTATTACATGTGTCACAATTGTTTGAAAAAGGGAAGTAATGAATTGTTGCTGAGCTCATTTATTGATGTAAAGTGCAAGTGCGGGACATTGATGAGAAAAGAAATAGATATGGTGGAAGAGGCAGCTGGTGATAATGGTGTTTTTGTTAAAGGGGATGCCAAGTTCTTGATCTATGATGACTTGACAGTGCTCCGAAGCTCTCCAAGTGAATCCATTAAACCACCCCTCAAATTTGGTTACACGGAATTCAAAAATATGAAAGAAAAGTATCTCGACAGGAACGAGGTAACATAATGGTACTGCACTAGTTTTTTTATGTTTAAAGGAGGAGACAAAAAATTAAATTCATTTAGAGGACTAAAATCTTTATTTTATGTTAAAAGATTCAGATAAATACAATACATTTTGTAACTTACACTACGTAGCTCTTGTGTATGAAGTTGGTAACCTTTATCCAGTTCTTTAAGTTGATTGTGAAATTGTAGATGCGCAGAACTTTTCCTTTGTGGTCATACTTAGGTAGTGTTAACTTATGAATTTTCCTTCTTTAATTATAACCTTACAGTCTTAAAATTTGCTTTGTTTATTATTATTATTTTTTGTTCTTCTTTCAGATACTTATCATACTAAAACAAGCATTAACCTCCAAGTCTCCTCTTACTGATGTATTAGTGAAAATGGGAGAACCCAAACCACAGAACTGTTTCTTACCAGATATGAGTTCAAGTGATTCTAAAGATTTTGTACAAATAAAGGTAATAGTGAGAAAATCAAATAACAGAATTCTATTTGTTGAAGCAGATGGGGATTTTGTCGATTTTCTAGCCAGCATCCTCACAACTCCTCTTGGATCTATTTTAAACCTTAGCGAGGACATACTATCCTTGGGAAGCATCCGTAACTTGTACCAAAGTGTGAAGAATCTTGATTCGTCATGGTTCATAGAGTCATCGAAGAAATCCTTATTGAATCCAAAGGTTAATCCTCATTTTGGTTGTGTGAGAAATCTACTAAATGTAAGTCAAGATGTTGTTTCCGAATATTGGTATGGTCTTGGAGTAATGAAAGATGGCAAGGGGCATGTCTTATGGGAAAAGAAAATGATTTCAAAGAAACAAGATATGTTGCAAAATCCAAAAGCTATCAAACTTTTAGACCCAAGATCTTCAGATGGAGTAAGAAAACATGAGGTTGGATTTATGAAGAGACCGTGTCTATTTGTTATGAGTGATGATCTAAAAGTGTTACCTATGACAACCACTTCTAGTATTCCAGGTCCATTTATGAAGGGTGTCCCATTGGATGATTTGAAGGAACATTTGGTGAAAATGAGAAAGCCACAGGTATTGTTCACAATCCACTCTTAACTTACGACTTGTTCTTTGGATATATGTTTAAGAAAATTCGATTCATACCAATGGTTTTATATAACATTTATCTTAATTTTATAAAATTCTATATGTCTATTTTGGTTAGGCACTAAACCTGTTGAGGGCTTCTTTGACATCCAACAAAGATGCTTTTACACGGAGCCTATTCTTCCTATTGATGAAGTGGCAATTCCAAAGATTCATTCCATTTGGGAGGTGTGTTCAGTAAAATGAAAAGAAGGAAAAGGTGAAAAAGAAGTTACATGGCACGAAAGAGAAAAGAAGAATGTGAAACAGAAAGTAGAAAAAAAAAAAGGAAGAGATTAACAATAACTGGCGGAGAAGACAAATGAAAAAGTTAAAGCCTAAAGTTTATGGGTAAAAAGTGATTAAATGGATTTGATTATCATGTAATATATATTTAATTTTTCTTGTTGCTTCAAAGTCCTTGTCCAATATATAGTGTAATTATGGAAAACGTCAAGTGAGGCTCTTAAATATTATTTCTTCAAGAAGTTGAGATTGGAGAAAGAGACTTTGTATTATACCAAGTTCTCCAATTTCATAGCAGAAAATCTCATTTACTTCACGAAGTAGATATCGTATTATAAGCACACCTTTTTATTTTTTATTTTTATTTTTTTTAAAGCACTATGTAGCATGGCTTTTTTTAGTTAAATGATCAAAATAGTAATATCCAAAATAATCAAAATAGTAATATCCAAAACAATATGTTATATAGTGAATTATGATAGTATAAACAAAGATACAACAAAATTATGTAACTTTGAATCAACTTATTAGCCCACTTACGAGTATAAACACATAACTATAGCAGTAAAAATTGCATGTTAAAGTCTTGATAAGACTTTTATCCGTTAGTTGATATATATCATTTTACTCTTTATTTTTTATTGAAGATTATTTGTTAAGTTAATTTTTTCTATAAATCATGCATTTAACATATTTTCATTAAAAACATGTTATAATTTAATTTTTCTTAATTTATTGCATTTTATATAATTTTAGCATAAAAAAATAATATACATGCATATATCCCCAATGCATTTTTTTCTTTTGTAGAAAAAAACTAATTTGAGATAAGTCAAATTGATAGAAATAAATGCTCAAATTGATGCACTTCGAGAAATTTACTTGTGCAACCCACTTGTGAAACGTTACAAATAAAAATTTTAAATTAAGCAAATTAACTTATGTAGATCACTCAAACTAGGAAAGAAGTATATTATTTTCTCAAAATCAATCTCAAATTTCTAATCATAAAATCCAATTTTGCAATTTTTAATTTGGGAAACATTTAATTTTATTATAATTAATTAATTTTATACCTGATTTCTCTTATTCAATCCCCTATAAATAGAGGTATGATGATATCATAATCACAATCTCCTGTTCGGGATGATTGTCTGTTTAATTTCGTCCTCGTTTTCTTTTTTGTTCTCAGTTTTTAGTTAGACGAGTGCATTTACGTACTTCCTGGTTTGTTCTCTCTTATTTAATTTTCAATTTCTATTCAATTTTTAAATTTATATTGTTTTATTTACTTTATTCATTCATTGCTCATTTTAATTTTTGTTATTTAATTGTTTAAAATTTTTATTTTTATTTTATTTCACTATTATTTGATTTTCATTTTCAATTCATCTCTTTTCAAATTTCAATTCTCAAATTTAGTTGTAGAGTTATCACTTCTAGAAGTTTTAAATTTAATTACTACACTATTTTATTTTAATGCAATTTTTTATTTTACATTTTTAATTAAAAACACTTTATTTTAATTTTATAAATTTCAGATTTAAATTCTTGTTCAATTTAATTTTAATTGTCATTAATATTCTACTACAATTTGATTTTAATTTTTATTATTCAACATCAATTTATTTTATTTAAAAAAATTACTCTTTCACCAACTCCCATATTTACTATTATCTACTTACTTTTAGAGAAAATAACGTATAATAATGGGCAAATTCCTATAATTGTGTCCTCACAAGATTCGACATAGATGAACTATACTACATTATTTTAGCAACTTATTATTATTTTTTATCAATATTTTATGCGACCAAAATATTGTTGTCACTAGTCTCAAGTCCTTCATATATGTTGTACCAACATTTGAACGTATATTTTAGACCATACAAAGATTTGATCAATTTGCAAACTAAGTTTTCTTCTTCTTTAGAGTCTTCTAATTGAAGCATGTTAATATTCTGTTTAAGTTATCCATGAAAAGATAGAGTATATACATTTTGCACTATAAGAAAATAATTAATTACCGACGGATATTTACCAACAGATATGTAGTTGTCGGAAAATGAGTGATTACCGAGAGACATTATCGACGAATTTAAAGTATTTGTGGAATTTGGTCTTACCGACAGATATATTCGTCGGTAAATTAACAATTAGTTACCGTCGGATATGTCTATCAGTAATTTAACAATTAGTTTCAATAGATATATCCATAAGTAAATTAACAATTAGTTACCGACGAATATTATCGACAACCTCCAGATTCACGTGCCCTAGCCCCTCCCTCACTTTAACCCTCATTTTCACACACTACTCCCCGCCTCACGCACACCTGACTTCCCCTCACTCATCAGGGCACCTCAGACCCCATTCACAGCTAACATTCGCTTCCCTTGCATCCCACTCCCCCCTACTAGCTACTCCCTCTTGCGACCCAGCTCACACGCGTCACTCCTTCTCCTCACCACGCCAACCACAACGGATCTCGGTCGCACCACCCCCATCACGACCCACACCCATCATCAACCCGAATCCACCCACCGTGTGGTCAACCACCACGAGCTTCAGTCGCACCACTAGCCTCCACCGTTGACACCGCTAAAGCGATGACACTGGTCGCAGCCAGTCACCACGCACCCTAGCCGCGCTCATTTCTCTGTGGCGCCTCCACCACCTCACCCTAGTCACTCACCCGCAATCCTAGTCCCTCAGCGACTTCAATATCCGCGGCCTCCATCTTCGCGCCCACCGAAAATCCCATCCAACCACTGGAATTGTTAAGCCTTAGCCCCCTCCCCAAACCCACGACCATCATTGTCGCGTGAACCACCTGTGTCGAGCCCTCCACTTCCATCGCGAGCCACGAAACAATCTAAGTCGCTGCTGCTATTGGGTTCGAGAAAGATTCCTCTCAAGATGTTTGTCCTGTTTCACCCTTCTTTTGATAAATTTAGTTCTGCTTTGTATTTTTCTGGTTTGGATCTGTTGTTGTGTTTGGTTTGATTTTACCATTTTCAAGTGGGTTTTGTTGGTTACACCGGCTTGGCTTGATGTTGTCTGAGTCCTGAACTGGTTTGGTGTTGTCTGTGTTCTGATGGCTCTGTTTGGTTTTATCTAGGCCTGAGGTTTTGTTTGATGCCTCATTCGAGATTGTGTTGTTCCACATTGTGGTTGTCCAATTTTGTTGGATCAACTGTAATTAGGTCAGTCATTCTTATTTGGGTTTGCTATGTTGCATTGTTAGGTTTGTTTCTGATCATCTTTGTTAGTCTCGTGTTTGTTTTGGTCTAGACCGGGATTCGTTAAAGGTTAACTTGGGTTTTATTGTCATTGAACAGACGTATCATCATAATGAGCTGAAATTGTGGTTTAATTCTGGATTGTTACAGGACCTTATAGTTCAAATAGGGTTGGTCTCAGTCTTTATCCTATGTTACATCTTAACATTACTGTTGATTTCTCTTTGTGTCTACTGATTGAATTGTTGTATTGGACTTTATTATTAGAACTATTGTTTGGGTCCTATTGGGTTGTTTTGTATTTAAGTTGGATTGTTTGGGTTGTATTGGATTTTTTTCATGATTAGAACTAATCTATTGATCAAAATTGTCTTGGTATAATCAATCATCATTATCATGTTCTCATGGTATGGTTGGTCATTTAAACTCTTTGGCCCTATTGGCAAGAATCTTTCTTGGTTTATCCTTTTTGTCAATTACAGGACTATCATGCACTACGTTTACTCCATTCTTCTTAGTGAGGCTCTAATCCATTCTCTTATTCTCACATGATCATTCAATCTTTAGTTCTGAAGAGATTTTATGACTTCTCCCCAATGGACACTACTGTTAAACTCGGACTATCTCTAGCATTCACAGTCTAGGTGTACTCAATAAGTCATCAACACTAATGTATTAATGTTTCAATAAGATATATACAACATAATAGTTTTAAGCAACAATTTGCATGAACATCAAATATGATCACATGAAGAAATGAGTGTATGATGCATTTATGAGCTTTATACAAGTAAAGAATATTATATTTGACTGTCTATAGATGTTGCAAACTGGGCATGCAATAATCGAGATTGATTCTGCCAACATGTCTACAACAATTCTCTTGAACAATTGTATCAATAGTTTTTTCATGTTTAATATCACATTGTTTTTTAATGTTAATAATTATTTTCGGTACACGATACTTCTTGCAGGTTAAGTGTTGACAAATCAGACACCAAACAAAGGATCCTCAAATTGCAGAGACTGTCCATACTGATTTTGAAAGGGGATTTATTTATGCTGAGATGAGTTGAGTTCATGAATATTGACATTTCAATATGAATCATATTGGATACACTAGTGTTCTTGAAGCCACTTCTCATCATTCACTTTTTTTCTTAATCACTCAATACATACACTCATTAAATGTTATATAAATTAATATTTCTCATGCACGCCTACTTCGCAACCATGGGCAATATTAGGTGACTTCATCGTGACGAAGATTTCAACATTACATTAATTAATTATTACATTCCATGTTGTCCAAATGAAAGTAGACATGTGTACAGTGGCGGATTTTGACCATTGATTTTGGGGGGCCAAATAATATATTATTAATAAATATAAAAAGAAGAAAGAAGATGAAAGAGTGAAAATATAAAATTGTAGATATATACTTAAATATATTAAATTATCATTAAGTTTGAAGGGAACAAAATCATAAATTATATGAGAGTTACAAAACTACTGAGGAGGGGCTGAGAGGATAAAATTGTAAATATACAAGTAAATATATTAAATGTTCATTATGTTTTGGGGGGACAAAATCATAAATTATATGGGAGTTACAAAATTTTGGGGGGGTCACGACCCCTTCAGCTCCCAAGAAGATCCGCCACTGCATGTGCGTACATTATGTATACTAGGAAACGATGTTTGATGAAATAATTAGGTATGTTTAATTGGATTTTGTTGAATAGATTATTGAATTGAATGCTATCTATTTTACAGGTTATATGGAAAAAACAAAAATATAATGGTTCTAAAAATAGAGACAGTTTTATTGACGGATTTACTGACAGATTATTTGTCGGTAAGTTGCACGCGAATAACATTGATAATTACCGACGGATATATCCGTCGATAAGTCATTTGAAAAAAGTCCACCTATCAAAATTTACCCATGGATATATTCATCAATAATTACCCATGACATTTATCGACGAACTAGGAAAATTCGTCGGTAAATATTATGGGTAATTACCGACGGATATATCCGTCGATAAGTCACACTTTATCCACGAAAATATCCATCGATAATTACATATGACATTTACCAATGAACTAGAAAAATTCGTCGATAAATTTTACCAACTGCACAATTTTTGACGGATTTCTTACTGTCGATAATATTTATTTACCGACCAATTTTCTTAATTACCGACAGATTTTTTCCATCAAAAAATTCAATTTTTCTTCTAATGTTGATAGAAATATCCTTATGGTCCGTAGATCCCATAAGCCATACCCTTTTATTATTAGGATAATCTAAGAATATACACTTCTTAAATTTTTTATTTAACTTTGTTATTGAACTTTAAAAAACATATTTGACTATACAACTATATTATGTAGAGTAATCATCATTGTTCCTCCAACAAATAATATGGGTGATTCTCACACATTAGAATGTAATCAATTCTAATATATTTTTTTAAATTAATTCTATATCTATAATTTTGATTCCCTCCAAATTTTTCAAAAATTTAAATTTTATGATCTATTAGATTTATGGTAGCTCAAATAAAATATTATATATATATATATATATATATATATATATATATATATATATATATTAAGTCCCTTAATGTTTCTTATAAATATTAAATGTATAATAAATAAAAAAAATAGTTTATTGAAAAAGAAATGTCACAATAAGTTTTGTATTCTCTCACTCTCAATAAGTTTCATTCTAGTGTTTATTTAATTTTTCACTTTTAAATTTATCTTTGTTTTCTCACCCTTATTGGACCCAATAGCAATTACGAATTTATATGTTATTTTCTCCTCTCAAATTATTGGTTTAAATCCGCATTACTAATATTATCTATAATTATTATTATTATCATTATTATCTATTATTATTATTATTATTATTATTATTATTATTATAATAATAAGCCATGAGCTGGATTGAGATAAAAAATATAAAATATTTTCTTATTTAAATTTTTTTATATATGTATGTTTAAAGTACCACCATCCTTTATATCCAAAAACTAAAAAAAGGAGATTAACTAACAACTAAAATAAAATATTAAAAGAAGAACAAATATAACAATAAATAATAATGTAATTTCACTAATAATAAATGTAAAGAGAAAACCATAACACTCTAGAAAATAGAAAATAGAAAAATAAAAATAAAATACCACTACTAAAGAGAACCTAAAATGAAAAAAATGTTTTTCCTCCCTTAATTTTTTAGTAAAAAAGAGAAGAAAATAATTTCTTTGTGTTTTAGAGAATAAAAGTAGTGTCTCTTTTATAATAAAAGCATGATTTTTTTCTTTAGTAGCATGTTATTAAATTTATAATTCAGTAAATATCATCATTCTATCAATATTTACGTGACTAGCATATTATTAAATTTATAATTCAGTAAATAACATCATTCTATCAATATTTACATAATTAACACAATTTTTACATATACGATCACTACTAAAAAATATACTTTCAACGTCATTGTTTAACGTCAGTTAAATCGTAGCCGACGTTGAAAGTCGAATTCTGACACATTTTACATCATTTTAGCATGCCCGACGTGGAAAGTAGGCTTTCGACGTCGGTTATACCCTCAACCGACGTTGAAAACCCTTCTGCAAGGGCTTTCAACGTCGGGTGTGGGTATAACCGACGTGGAAAACCTGTTTTCCCATTTGAAAAGGATATCATTTTTGTATCTCCCCTTACTCTCCAGCATCGCGGCCACTCCCCTTACTCTCCAGCATCGCGGCCACCACCTACCACCCTCATTTGGACTCTCCGGACGCCCTCCCTCACGTTGCCACCGCGCACCGCGTGACACCCCCGCCGCAGCCTCCGCCTCCACCTCCACCCCACCACGATGGTAGGCGCCGCATCGTCCACCGCAGACTCCAGCCGCACCACAGGCTCGACCTCCACCCTACCAAAGCCTCCACCTCCACCCCACCCCACCACAACCTCCACCCCACCGCGACGCTAGTCGCCCACCGCGATGCTAGTCGCCCACCCTCCACCCCCACCGCAGCCTCCACCCACATTGCATCGTCCACCTCCAGCTCACCACGCCTCGACCCTAACGCCGCACCGTATCCTCCACCTCCACCCCACTAGCAGCCGCTCTCTCTTCTCTCGTGGTGCGCACCTTCATCGCTGCCTTAACCCATAGGTACGATGTTGTTGCACTTATATTTGTTGGGCAAAAAGTTGAAGTCATAAAATTTTACTTACTACATTTCATAGGTAGAGATTCTTAGTCATATTATTGTTGGCCGTTAACTGTTGATTCAATTGTTTATACGTTTT